CTTATTTTCCCGGTCATTTCCAGCATGTTACATCGGCATTAGTTCTTTGCAAACAGTACTAAAATAATCTGTTGAACTTCATCTGTGTTATATTGTGAAAAGGAGAAATGAGAAAGGGACAAATGCTGTTGTAAGCACATGAAAAAATGAGATTGCTTTGCTGTAAGGAGAACAACAATAGACAGGGAGACAGGGGCACAGATTGTCTTTCGAACTTAGTTGTACAGAAAGAGACCATAGAAGGGTCCCGACCCGAAATGTCAGCTTTCCTGCTTCTCTGATGCTGCCTGACCTGCTGTGTTCCTGCAGCTCCACACTGTGTTACCATAGAAACCCTGTTGTGTCATGAAGGCTCTTCTGACTCCACAGCCACCAGTAGGATCAATTGCTTTTTAAAGCAAGAATACGTAGCACCAGAATTTATAGAATAGAATTTACAAATTACTACAACGCATGAGGAGAATATTGTGCCAATTGAATCTGCTCTGGCTCACTCAAAGAAGCACAGTGAGTTCCACACTGTAGCAAGCACGAGGTTTGCCTTTTATCTTTAGTTGCTTACTCAGTTCCCTTTTGAAAACTGCAATTGATCTTACCTCCACCATCATCCTCGGTTAGTGCTTTCCAGATCCAAACCTGTCTCATCATAAAAATGATTTTTATGATGCCTTTGGTTATTTTGCCAGTCAGCTTAAGTTTTGGATCCTGTGTTTTGTTTTTTTTATTGTAACCCCTCTGCAAACAGAGTGTTTCTCTCCTGTCTAATTTGTCTAGACCCTTAGTAATTTGAGCAGGCTGAACAAATCTTAGTTTAACTTTCTTTTCTCGAAGTAGAGCAGCTTCTCCTATGTATCCATGTAGCTGAAGGTCCTCATCTATGGAACTTTGCTGAAATCTTTTCTGCTTCCTCTCTAAACTATTCGCATTCTTTCTAATGTAATGATCAGAATTTGACACAATATTCCAGTTGAGACAAGCCAGTGTTTTATAAAGGTTCATCATTCATGCTTTTGTATTGCGCCTTCCCTTTTTTCATAAAGGCTCGGAGCCCATATTTCATTTAAACCACTTTCTCTACCTGCCATGACTTGTGTGTAATTATTCCTAGGATTTTATCTTCTTCTTCCTCTTCAGATTTGTGCCCTTAGTTTATATTGCCTCCTTATAATGTTGTTCCAACCAAAGTACGACTTCATAATTTTCCGAATTAAATGTCATCTGCCATATGCCCTTCCACAAGCCTGCCTGTCATCTTGAAGTTGGTCACGCTTCCCCCTCACAGCTCTCAATGCTTTCAACTTTGCATCATCTGCAAATTTTGAAATTGTGCTCCGTGCACCCAAGTGTCAGCATTAATATACATCATGAAGTGCAATGATCTTTGTATTGATCCTTGAGGAGTGCCACTATATGCCTTTGGTCTGAAAACCAACAATTTCCCCTGTTTTCTGTTTCTCAATTGACATTGCATCATCGTGGTATGTCTCTGATACACCTAAAATACAGTTCTGCTGTATTTCAAAGCACGCAGGCACCTTTTCATTGAAATGATGCTTCCAGCACATTTTACACACACGAACGGGCTCACAATTAAAGTTTATTTATTCATTTACAGGATTCATTTATTGCCCATCCCTCGTTACCCAGAGGGGCAGTTAAGAGTCAACCATATTGCTGTGGGTCTGGAATTGCATGTAAGGATGGCAGTTTCCTTCCTTAAAGGAAATTCTTGAACCAGATGGGTTTTTCCTGACAGCGATGGATTCCTTTAAATCCAAATTTTTATTGAATTCAAATCCCATTGTCTGCTGTGGCAGGATTTGAACCTGAGTGCCCAGAGCATTGCGGGTCACTGGATTAACAGTCCAGCAATAATACTACCAGGCCGTCTCCTCTCTGCTGGGATTGGACCAGTGTGCATCTCATGGCTCCTTGCTTGTTGTCTTAGCGCTCAGTCACTTCACATACTTGGATACTCACAGTATATTGTCATTGCCTTGCCTTTTTGTCCCTTGCCTCTAAGGCAGAGCTTAAAATCCCACAGTACTTCAGTCTTGCCTTGCCTTTAGCGCAGACACCAAGCAAGACAACTTATCGTTGTAGCTAGTAATTAGTCAAGGGGTTGGACGTTTTTGCTGTGTGGTGTCTTGCAATGTTAATCTCACATCTGCATGGGGAACTCAATTGTGGGGACTGGAGACAGCATGCTGGGGTGCAGAGGGAGCAAAAATTGAGGGTGGGAACTCAACATTTCAGGGGTGGGGGAAGAGAATAGTGCATCTGAGGATGTGGGTTAGTGCAGGAGGGAGGGATTATTGGTCACCACAATTTTTGCCTTGGCACAGGGATAATGTAGCATGATGGCATGGCTAATCTGTAGGGCTGAAGCGCTTTGCAATACTGAGATGAAGTTCTAATTCAATGGTATGTGGGAATGTTTGGAAGCTAAGTACTGATTGGCTGAACAGGGTGTTAGGGAGCCCATGGGTGAAGTAACATAAAATGGCTGAAAGTGATTCTCGGTTGACATAAAACGGCTGAACAAGATTTTTAATTGAAACTGCAGTTTCAATAGTTTGCTGTTCGATGTTATAAGCTAGAGAAATTGTGGCCTTCATAGAGTGCACCCAAGGTAACAAATTACAGTAACACAGCTTTGTGCAATTCATACAATGGATTCTGTTGAAATAGAAACAAATGCAACTGTTTGTATAGAGACAGTTTGATACAGAACATCCTTGAGAAATCTTGATATAAGCCCCCTTTCAGGCTAGTCCAAAGTTTAATATTTAGCATGCGTTAGAAAGAAAGTGGCTGTTAAGAACCCTGGGTTATAATTATAGCTGCATGTTTTATGATATATAAAGTATACAGGCATTAAGAGATTTAACTGCAATTCTGTGGATGTTCAGTCTAAGGCAGCTAGAGAAGGGCCCCTTCCTATTAGCAGAGATTATTGCAGCAGCCTAAAGTCTAGAATGTCACTGAATAAGTTGTATTGTGAAGGCCGAAGGCTATGTGATAAGGGGGTTGTTGTAAACATCATGAGTTCATGGGAGGATCTAAAATTGATCATGCAGTCACATAATTAACCTAATTGAATGTGTATGTATTCAATTAATAATATGATTGACTGTTACAAACCAAAAGCAGGCTAACAGCAAATACATAAAAAGTGTATCTTTGTCTTTGTTCATTGGAGATGCCTCTGGATCGCAAAGGGCTTTTCTTCCCCTTTTTGTAAAGCAATAACTCTTTACTTCTGGAAGCGGACATAGAGGGATTAATTTAGTCATATAGTCCAAGAAGGGAGTGCCAGGAGAAAAGAACGTGGGGAGAGAATAGTCCTTGATTAACAGGCTGAGCCTTCAACTCATTGTGTCAAGTGTGACCTGTATTGCTTCTCATATTCATGTAACTTGTAAATGCACACTGGAAATATAAAATGGCAGTGAACCCACCAGGAGTGGGCGGCATAAGTATTTTTTTCTGTCTGAGCGTGTGGGTTCCACTTGTGAATGACATGGTATGCACTTAAGGCAATTGCATTAATTGAGCACTTTTACAATACAGGTTGACGCCTTCTAAAATCATTCCACCCTTCATGTGAAATGCATGCAGCATCCAACTGTGTGGGGCACAATTCCTGGTCTCCAGCAATCTTGACCATATAATTGGTCACTGCTGATTGATAGTCATTTCTGTGAAACACAAGCAATCCCAGCTACCTTAGAAATGGGACTTGCTAGCCACAATTCGAGATTTCATAGGCAAAAAAGGGCATAGGACTGTTATCATCTCTCTGAGTGGAGTGCAATAGGCCAGACAAGACTTAATTACAGCTGGTTCCAACAGATGTGAGGTGGATGCAGTGATTATTTGACTGTACATTTGATATTGGCTGAAAGGCGAGCAGTTCTTATGCTCCCAAGAATGGCTTCTTCTGTTTGTTTAATATTCCCTTTGGTTGTAATAAAATCAACGAGGTATACAGCACAGAAACTGGTCTTTCAGCCCAATTCATCCATTCCAACCAGGTTTCTTGAACTGAACTAGTCCTGTATGCCTGCTATTGGTCCATATCTTTCTAACCCTTCCCTATCCATGTACTAGTCCAAATGTCGTAAATGCACCTGCTTCTACCTGTTGCTGAACAATGAGAGGATGTTGGGCTACAGTGGCCACACAGGGAAAGAGTAGTAGTCATTTAGGTAGGATTCAAAAACGTTACAAAACTAAGGGTGGGTAACCTATGTAGCTTGGTTCTTCAGTAGCAATAAATGCGCAACATGTTTAATTCTATATCCAATAACGTGTCAGCTGTGCCTTGAGAAGCATTTGTTTCTTATTGTTCACCCACTGCATATTCAGTAAAGGGCAGTTCCTGGCTAGCAGCGCTTGACCAGATGCCCAGCTGGTTTTTAAATGTGGCACTGATGCCAGGAGCCTCAGGCAATGATGAGTACCTTTGCCTGTTGGGTCAGGGAATATAGGATGAGCAAGGCACCATTGGTTTATAGTTAAATATGTAAGAAACATTGCTAGGCCTTACTGAGAGAAACCTTCCATGAAATTTGATGAAACTGACAAATTTCTGTCAAAATTCACTCCGTTAACTCAGTTTTCCTGTCAACAGATGCTGCTTGGCCAGGTGAGAACCTCCAGCACTTTCTGTTTAATTTCAGATACACAGCATCTGCCTTTGGTTTTTGAATAAGTTGTCGTATTTGAGGTTTGATCACGTGTGTGTGTGTGTGTGTGTGTGTGTGTGTGTGTATGTAAAATTCAAAACTTCAAAACACAAAGCTCTTGGGTTGTATTTGAAATATGACAAAATAATAATTATATCTGTTTGGTAAATGTATAAGATTGAGACCTTTTCAAGGTCAAATTGCAGTATGCTTAAGTTCCATGTATCATTTTATGCAACTGTTCCTTATGCTATCTTATGTTAACAGCATTTCATATTAGATAAATAAGGAATGTTGTGATCTATCTTCCAACAGGATGCTAGTTTCACTGATGCCAGTTCGTTCAGTGTCTCCATGCAGACTTCTCCATCTTCTATGATTAATCAGCATACGTTGGATGATGAACCTGACAGCAAAGATATTTTTGTCACGGTTGATGACCCAGAAAATCACGTTACAACACTTGAAACTTTTGTCACTTACAGAATTATTACGAAGGTAAAAACAACACAGTGCTGAATGTGGTTCCAATACTTGATTCTGAAAATGGATTAACTTAATTTTGTTAACATTTTATTGTAACACAATGGTGGAAGTAAATCATTGTTTAATATGAGTAATGGAAGATACCTAGCAAGTAACCATAAAATGTGCTGATTCTCCAATGTTAGAATCCAGTTTGCCAGGTTGAATCAATAATATGATCAGCTCATCCAAGGTATTTTCAATGTATTCCATTGTGACCCAATATGCTTTTGATTTCTGACACAACATTTGGTGCCAAATCTAAATTTTATGACTTCTCTATCCTTTATTATTTTATTTTAAATGCTTTACATCCAAAGGTAATCAGATTCGATTGTTAATCAAGCTTTTAGAATTGTTTTATGGACTCTTAAACATGCCTTTGTTATGGCCAGGTAACCCCACAAGCTTCTGTATTTGAGTGCCATTGGCTAGTACACAGGGCGACTTAGCAAAATGAATTTTACTGGATGCTGGATGTTTATGCAGAAATTTAGCTATTTTGAATTTTTTTAAAGCAATTGAAATTTCAAATAACATTTTAAAAAGTTGTTTTAAATGATTTAGGATCTGATTACCCAACTCATTTTCTTGGCTGTCCATCACTCAAGTCCACAGTAAAGTTAATATTGATATAAAGGAAAATAACTCAATTAACTTCTGACAATGAAATGTATAAAATTGCCTTTTACAATTATGTCAAACATCTTCAGTCTAATTTAAGGACAATACATTGCTCAAATAGTACTGCAAATTTATGTCTGCCGTAGGAATACAATTAAACATTTTCTGTTGATATACTTTGCGTCATGGTATGGTGCAGTTTTATTATTTTGCATAAAACATTTAAAAGTCTTGTATTGATTTTAGTTTTACAGTTGGCTTCCTTAGGAAAGGCAAGTTCAAGTAACTAACAGTGGTTGCTCAATAATGAATAGAAATTTAGATAATGTTGCTGAGAAACTTGATCATGTTCTTTCATCAATGTACAGTAGTCGTCAACTTGTAAATCAGGAAATTGGTGATGAATTGCATGATTTAAAAACTACAAAAGTTATGACTCTTATAAAGATTTTATCCAGTTAAAAGTCTTCATGCAAATTAGACAATGAAATTGCTCCTTTCATTTGATTCCATTTTTATTGCTTTTTTCTGAAGAAACTCTGAAAACTGATAAATGTAACATGTTGCTTCCGGGCAGTAAAGTAAGACTTTATTTCCCAGTTACCGAACATTCATTTATTTTCAGACATCCAGTTAAGTTGTCATTAATATGAAGGTTCTAGATTCTAACCCTGTTGAGAAATGGATTTTTAATCTTCACATCTGTGAAGATCTGAAGATATTTTTATAAAGGGTCATAAAATCATTGAGTGAGTCAATGTTTCCAAGAAATTGTGAAATTTTAGCTAAATGATCAGCAACCCCACGGAGATATCACTAAGGTGTTTGCTGCCAAGGGTTTTACAATCCAGAGAGAGAGGGACTGAAAAAACAGGAAAGGTTCAGGGAGAACATATCCATGATATCAGAGTTGCTTTTAGTTTAGCAACCCCTAAAACAGTTAGGCCACAATAGAAGAAGTCTGAGTTGATTGGAAGAAAACTTCTGAAGCAGAAAGCAGTAGTGATGTCTTGGAAGATGACAACCTCACCTGTCTTTGACAGCTCAGTAGGATAAAAGAAACCCATGTCCATAAGGAATAGAAAAGTTAGCAGCTTTTTTTGAGGATCTCGGGGAATGGTATTAGTGAAAGGGAACAGCTATGAGTGAATGTACAGAACTTTGCTGAAAATAAAATTGATTTGTCAGTTAAACAAAGGAGCTTTAGCGTGGATCTCGGGTGATCATTCACTGAGGTTTGGGTGTTTATAACGTTGTTATTGGAAGTCAAGGGTTGAAACTTGCTTTCTTGCTTGCTTTCTTTCTTTCTTATTCATTTCAATAGTTTTTGTGTGGTGTAATATAGTTTGATATTTTTCCATTTTGTGCCATAACTGTTAAGCTGTCTTGTTGGCAGGTTCTTGTGAATTTGTTCATGACTGACCTCCATGGTACACACAAAGTAAAACAAAGTAAGTCTATCTGGGATTGGACTTACCTAGTAATGCCATCAGCTGGGATTATGACTATAAACTATTATTGGGGAACCTCTTCAACAATTCTCTTGTTTTGGTAAAAGTTGAATTTTGATTCACTTAAGATTTGTCATTATCTAGCCATCACCCCTTTACATTCAATAGCATCACCTTCACTGAATCCTTCGTTATCAACACCTGTTGGCCAGAATCTGAACAAGGCTGGCGATATAATGGCTGTGACTACAAGAACAAATGAAAGGTTGGGTATCCTGCAGCAAATAACTCACCACCTGACTCCTCACAACATCTGACTTTAAATGTTGGACAGGTCAGGACTGTGATGGAATACTTCCTTGGATGCATGCAGCTCCAAGAATAGTCAAGAAGCTTTACAATGTCCAGGACTAAGCAGCCAGCTTGATTGGCAACACATCCACAAACACTTCATCCCTTCACCTCAGATATTTGCCAGTAGCATGCATGCAGTACAAGTTGCAAAGTGGCTTCCAAGCTGTCTATATCTGCCATCTAGACAGACAAGGGAAGAGGATACATGGAAACACCACCACTTGGCAAGTACCCCTCCAAGCCACTCATCATCCTGACTTAGAAGTATAAAGTCAAACATTACAGAAAAGGCCCTTCAGCTCATTGAGTCTGCACAGACAAAAAAAAGGGCACCACAGTGGCTCAATGGTTAGTGCTGCTACCTCAGTGCTAAGGACCTAGGTTCGATTCCATCCTCGAGCAACTGTCTGTGTGGAGTATACACAGTGGTCGTGCATTTGCATGGGTTTCCTCCACGTGCTCCTGTTTCCTCCCACAGTCAAAAAATGTGCAGGTTAGGTGGATTGGCCATTCTGAATTGTTCATGAGTATCCAGGGATGTGCAGGCTACGTAGAGTAGCCAGGGGAATTGCAGGGATACATGGGAAGGGTGGAGGAGGGGGGAGCTAGGTCTGGGTGGAGTGCTCCTTGGAGGGTCAGTATGGACTTGATGGGATGAATGGCCTGCTTTCACACTGTAGGGATTCCATGATTCTATGAAATCACTTGTCAACACTGATCTCACTTTCCAGTACTTCGTACAAAGCCTTGAAAATTATGACATTTCATGTGTTCCTGGGAATTAATGTGCAAAGAGACATGGATCGCTTAATACTATAGTTACTGAAGTTTACCAGCAGAATGATGAATATGTCACTATTCCTCAAGTATTTCTAGAACTCCCTCCCTACTAGAATTATGGGTATACATACAACAAATGGACTGCAACGATTCATAGTGGCATCCTGACACTTTCTCAAGGGTAACTAGGCTTGGGCAATAGGTCCCAGACAGTGCGCCCTAAATAAAGTTTATTGGCGTATTAACTATCTAATACAAAAAGAAACTAACAATTGGTAAACAATAATGTTTCTCCAAAAATGAATGATGTTTAGGAGTAGGAAATGCCTAATTTTTTGGCATGACTATTATCACATTTAATTTTGAAGTTTGGTTGAAATGATGACTTGTTCTAATGAAAATTTTATAAAAATTTTATCTGAGGTAAAAAATAGGAGTAGGCCATTCAGCCCTTTGAGCCTGTTCCACCTTTAAAATGATCCGAACTGATTATCCAACCGAATTCGCTGTTCCCACTTCCTCCTCATACCCTTTTATCCCCTTAGCCTGAAGAACTATATTGAAATCCTTGAAAATGTTCCATGCTTTGGCCTCAACTGCTTTCAGGCTCCCCACTGTGTGCATGAAGACATTTATCTCAGTCCTAAATGGCCTATCCCATAACTTTAGACTGTGATCTCTGGTTCTGGACTCCAGGTCAACAGACACGTCCTTCCTGTGTTTACTCTGTTCAGTTCTGTTCAAATTTTATAGGCGTCTGAGGTAACCCCTCATTCTTCTAAACTCCAGTGAATACAAACCTGACCAATCCAGTCTCTCTTCATACATCAGTCCTACTGTTCCAGGAATCAGTCTGGTAAACCTTCGTTGCACTCCCTCAATGGTCAAAACACCTTTCCTAAGGAAAGGAGATCGTAATTGCATAAAATACTGCAGTGTGATCTCATCAAGGTGTAGTGTAATTGCAGCAAAACGTTTCTGCTCCTTTACTGAAATCCTCTCACTATGAAGACCACTGTACCATTTGCTTTTTTTACCGCCTGCTGCAACTGCCTTCTTACTTTCAGCAATTGGTCTCATTGCACCTCCCCATTCCAAATCAATCACCTGTTCAGATATTCAGATAATAATCCGTTTTCCTGTTTTGGCTACCAAAGTGGATAACCTCATTTATTTGCATTATACTGGATCTACCATGCATTTCCCACTCGCTCAACTTGTTCAAAACACACTGAAGCATCTCTGTATTTTCACAGTTCACCCTCTCTCTCAGCTTTGTCACGTACAAACTTGGAGTTGCATTTAGTTCCTTCACCTGAATCGTTAATACATATTGTGAATAGCTAGAATCCAAACACCGATCCCTACTCCACTAGTAACTGGCTACCATTCAGGGGATGGGGGAGGGGTGTAACTGTTTTATTCCTACACTGTTCCCTGTCTGCCAGCTAGTTCACTATCCATGTCAGTACACTAGTCCCAGTCTCATGCGCTTTAATTTTACATGCTGATCTTTTCTGTGGGACCTTATTGAAAGACTTCTGAAAATCCGGGTAAACCACATTCATTGGCTGTCCCTTTATCAACTCTATCAGTATTCTCCTGAAATGTTTTTGAAGATTTCTGTCAAGCTTGATTTTCCTTTTGTAAATCCACACTGACTCCATCTGATCCTGTCAATTTGCCAGGTGCTTTGTTATTGTCTGTCTTTTATCATGTATTCTAGCGATTTCCCCATTATTGATGTCAGGCTAACCAGTCTAT